AATCTCAAATGCTTTTCTCTATTGCTTCCAAAGAGGGCAGTACAAAAGGAGGATGGCCCCCACTGGTGCAGCTGTTAGCCTGATGCTTACGGGGTATTTTATCCCAGTGACACAGAACTCCCATTGCTGAATACCCAGAGGGAGGAGGGAACCAAATTTTCTAATTGGCAAACTAGTATCAAAAGAAACTTCCAGCATTTCCACTTCAGACAAAACTTTTCTCTGTAAGAAAGGATGTCAGCACCTCTCCTAATAGCTGAGGTTCCCAGCTGGTTAAAGGGCCACTGCTGTTCTGAAGCAGCCATCCCTGTGGTTAGAAGTGGTCCAGAGCTTAGACTCACTCTGTTCTGAATGTCTCCATCTAGCTTCAGGCAGCCATGGACTGGCCATGCTGGATTTGGACTGTGCTCTGCTCAGCCTGCTGAGATCTGCTTCTTCTGGATCCCATTAGGAGGTGCTTAACTTCCCACGAAGCCTAACACGAGTTCTGGATTCCTCTCTCATGCGTAATATCTGACACATAATCAGAAACAGATCCTGGCCCAAAGCTCTAGCCAGCCAAAAATAGAGAAAAGCAGACTGGCTGACATTCTGCCAGGACTACATTCTCGCAGGAATACTGATGCCCATGGGATGACATGGATGTAAATTAATTTGATCCCAGTATTATCGCTTGTAGCTGAAACATTATAAAGTTGTAGTGGACACCATGAAAAATAATGGCTTTTCAGATATTTCACATTGCAACAGCAATTAATGGTTCTGCTTAGATGTTTGGAGGAAGCTGGAATTACAGTGCCATGACACCAATTGTAAGACAACATTTCCCAAAAAAATTAACTTCTTGAAATGTCTGAAGCACTGCATTCATATAAAGGAAAAAAAAACAAACCCCCCACAACTGCAAATAAATACCCTTTTAAGTACCACAAACAAGATCCTCAGTTAATATAAACCCTTTAAATAGAATGGATTTAAGCAACTTACAGATACTGAGCACCTTTGCTTCAGAATAAATAGAAATTACTTTTTTTTTCCTATTCCCTCCTTTTCACAATTCATTTGTTTGGATCTTTCCTAAGGACTGATAGAAAAGCAATTGCCTTCTTGGGTAAGTGTGCAACACAAGAATCCAGGGTTTCTTCTCAGCGAAGGAGGAAAAAAAGAAACTTTGGAGTTATCTACAGTTTTAAATAATCTCCTCTCACTAAAAAAGCCTACTTCTAAGACAGGTAATAAAGTGATAAAGTTCATTTCCAAGACAGATGGGAAAATTCACTGAAAATGATTTGTATCAAACTGAAGAACACATTTAATCCACTGTGTCTGGGCAGGTTTCTGTATCTATTGAATTTTACCTCCTGTGCTCCCCATTAAGTTACTGCAGTAAAGATGACATCCAAGTGTCCGGATCTGATCAGAAATTACAGCCTGGGTGTCCAAGCCACGGGGATGCAAAGAACACAGCCAAGATCCCATTGACTTAACGGTAAGAAAGGGATTATACACACTATGATCTGTCCTTCTGCCTCCATTGGAACCCCACACTTCTGTTGAGCCCATGCACTTAGTTCCTGAACTTGTGCCAATTATTCTGTCAAGGCTGAAGCAATTGAATCTGAGGTCATGTAAGCCAGACTCTTACTTTCTCCAAACTGGCAGAAGTCTTCTTACTTCAGCCAAGTGAGGACAGTCAAGAGTGTATGAAAGCGAGACTGGCAGGGTTTCTGCAGAGCTCCTGTCTCTTTTGCTGTTGCACACATCTCTCCCACAGAATACCATTCATGAACTGGAAACACTGCATCTTGGAATCATATTAGGTTTTCTGTCACTGTCCTATCACGCTGAAAAGCTGTTTCAGAGTCTGACTACTCTGTTGATTTGGAAAAGTGAAGTAAAAAGCACTTGAAAATAACAACACCAGCCTGAAAAGGAGGGGGGGGGGGGGGAGGGGGACCAAAAAAACTCTATTATATCACTTCAGTTTGCTTCCAACATAAAGTCTCTATTTAGTAGGCCTCAGTCCAGCTCGTCCCTAACTATTGGTAATAGTTGGTAACTATTGCCATTTCTCTAAATAGAGTGAAATTTTGATAATGTGTCTCACCGAAGTTCTTTCAGACATTTTAAATGTGATGGCAACACCTAAAAATATTTCTCCTACCTCACTTGTTGCTTGAAGATACATGGCCATGTAAGGGAGTGATTGCAATCTGACATGTTCTCACTTGCTAGCAGTGTCACAGCAGCAAATCTCTTAGCCTCCAGCAAGCATCAAGTCATCTACTTAACCTGCTTCACAGTGGATTATATTAAACCACATCACCTTGCATTTGCCTCATACACAGATATTTAACTCAGATTAGCAAATAAACTGATTTTGCCTCTAAGCCTTTAGACAAGGGGTCTTAATGGAGTTTAGCATCTCAAGTCAGTTGCTGTGATCTGCCTTTTCAAGACATGCCAGCAATTCAGCCTGTTCTGAGTTTAGGCCCAAGGAAAGGATACTCCCAAAAACACGCTGCTAAGGAAAATACACAAGCTGTCAACAAACCCATGGGATGAATGAAAATGGTTTACTCAAAACTTATGCACCATCTTATGACATCTCAGGCAGATGGATAGGTTGGAGTTAGTTTATGTAGAGCAGGAGTTGTTTTTTTGCATAAGTGTATCTGCAAGGTTATGTTGCTTTGCTGCTGAGCGTTGTTCTGTGGAAGAATGGCCACTGCATTCTTTCCAGGGCCAGTAAATCTACAAAATTTGGTGCATGAAATAAAAATCTTCATCAATAGTGTGTATTAGTGTCATGTCTTACAAAAGCTAGATTATTTTGTTTAAACATTAAAATAAGTACCTTTTGCCTTGAAAAGGACTGTGACAATTAATTGGACAAAAATAGTTTCCTGGGATCTGAAGTTACAATGGCAGCCACTTAGCTGAATGCAAGTGAGAAACATGACATGTGAATGTTCATCCCAGGTATGGTTTTACCAAGTAAAAGCTGAAGTAATATTAAAGTAGTGCTCGATTAACAATATTACATTGTTAAGTAATGTGTGAGATTGCTTTTTGCGTTGTAAAAGACAGGCATTCGCAGGATCATGTTTGTCTTACTGCACTTCAGAGTCACAGGGTGCTGTAACAGCAGTTACCATCCTTTGCCTTTGATGTGCACTTTTGAAGCACCGCAATGATCACAGTTAAAAACACCTTCAATTCCTGGATTTCTAAGATATATTTTTCGCATTTCGCTTAGCTCTTAATCAATTCCCAAAATCTCACGTGCCCTTGAATTTCAGCATGAAACAAAAGTAGAAATTTAAACTTTGCCTTCCCAATACTGATCTACCTCTGCTGCTCATCCTCCAAGAGAGAGATCACAGCCAAGGCAGGAAACTGCAAAGGCTGGGAGTAGATTGGCCTTGCCAGTGGTGCTCATACACTGAAGAGGAGGTTACCCTTTGCTTGTCAGTTAGGTCTCACCACAGCAGTATGGCCCTAGCCAGACGTTATAGGGTTTGCTTCCAAAATAAAGTCTCTATTTAGAGACTTTTTGGCGCTAGAACCTTGCCCCATAACCAATACGTACCTTCTGAAACAGCAAAACAACAGAATTAAAAAAAAAAATAAAAGAAAAGAAAGAAAAACCAAACCCACCTCTGGGTTTTGGCTTTGATGTTGACTTCTCCTCCTTCCAGCCACATGTATTTTGGTCACTGGCAAGCACAGTATCACAGAAACATAGAATGGTTTTGGTTGGACAGGACCTTAAGATCATCTAGTTCCAACTCCCTTGCCACAGGCAGTGACACCTTTCACTGCACCAGATTGCTCAGTGCTCCATCCAGCCTGGCTTTGGGCACTTCTAGGAATGGGGCATCCAAAATTTCCCTGGGCAACCTGTTCCAGTACCTCACTGCCCTCACAGTAAAGAATGCCCAGTGAGCACCATGACGGGGCCCTCCTTGCATACCCAGTCCCTTTCCCCAACCTCAGAGGGCCCTCAGCTGCTTCTTCAACTTGGAGAGGGAAGCAACCCCCTCAGCCTTCCCTCCACCCTGGAGACACTTGCTCCCTGACACCCCATAGCCCGCCCACTGCCATGTTCCTCCATGCATATCCCTACACCTGTCAATCCTGGTGCTTGAATCACAGAAAGCTTTGAGCTGGAAGGGACCTTAGAGATCACTTAGTTCCAACCTCCTCACATGGGCAGGGACACCTTCCACTAGGCAAGATTGTTGTGAGCTCCATCAAACCCGGCCTTGCAGACTGTCAGGGATGGGGCAGACACAATTTCTCTGGGCAACTTGTGCAAATGCCTCATCCCCCTCACAGTAAATAATTTCTTCCCATTATCTAATCTAAACTTATTCTGTTTCAGTTTTAATCCACTCGCCTTTGTCCTGTCACTACACGCCCTTGTGTAAAGTTCCTCTCCAGCTTTCTTGAGGCTCCCTTCAGGTTCTGAAGGCCACAGTTAGGTCATCCCAGAGCCTTCTCCAGGCCGAACAATCCCAATTCTCCAAGCCTTTCCTCACAGGAAAAATGCTCCATCCCTCTAATCAACTTGGTGGCCTCCTCTGAACTTGTTCCAACAGTTTTATATCCTTCCTGTGCTGGGTCCCCACAGCTGGGTGCAGCACTGCGGGTGGGAGCTCACCGGACGGGAGTGGCGGCCCTCCCGCACGGGAGGAATGACTGGGACCTTGGGTTTTTGTTGTTGGTGGGGTTTTTTTGGTTTTGTTTTGTGGGGTTTTTTTGGGTTTTTGTTTGTTTTTTTTTTTGGGGGGGGGGGGGGTTGGGTTTTCTTTTTTAATATCGATTTGGAAGGCACAACACTCCGCACGCTATTCCTAACCCTAACCTAACGGCAAGTTGCCGGGGGTTCCTGCGGCGGGGCGGGCGGAGCCCTGCGCCGGGCCGGCTCAGTCGGGGGCGGGCTGCCGGGGGCTGCCGGCGCCGGAGGAAGTCGGCGCTCGGCCGGAAGCCGGGATGCGGAGGGCGGGGAGGGGGCGTCGCCGGGGCCTCGCCGTCCGCCGCGGCTCTGGCCGCCGCGCCCATGGCCCAGCGGGCGCCCAGGGGGCAGGGGCAGGACGAGGAGGAGGGAGCGGAGGAGGAGGAGGCGGCGGCGAGGGGCAGCCAGGCGCGGGCCAGGAGCCATGCGGAGCCCGCGGCGAGCGGCGGCAGGAGCCAGGACCGGCATGAGAGGAAGCGGAAGAGGCAGGAGGCGCAGCAGCTCCAGAAGATCCAGCACCTGGAGTCTTTGTAAGGAGCCGAGGAGGGGAGGCTGCCCGCGGCTCCCGCCCCGGCTCTGCCCTGAGCACACCCCGCCGGCATTTGGGGCTCGTTTACAGTGCAGGGTTTGGGTTTTTTTGGGGGGTGGTGATTATTCTTCCCCTGTCCCCTTGGGGTGAGCGGCTGAAGGAGTTGGTGATTTATGAAGGGCTTGTTGGCTCTCCCAGGTTCCTCCGTGTCTGACAGACGCAGCACAGAGCATAGCTTGTTCCAGTAGAATGGACTGAAAAAAAAAAAAAAAAGAAAGGAAAGAAAAGGCATTTATTGTTTTAACGGAATAAAAAGGTCAGAAGGTATACAAGAACATGATTTTGTTTTTTCCACGTGCAAGTAAAAATGAGTTTGTTATTAAGTGCACCAAAAAGCACTCCGAAGTTATTGCCATAAAGATGGGATGAAGGTAGTTTAACCACATTTTCCCTGCTGTTCTTACTGTATTAGTATGACTGTGCCTAGCAATCCAATAGGTATATAGGGGTGTCTGTGTGTGCACGGCTAAGCCGATAAAATATTGCCTATGCCATCAAACTTACGGCCTAAAATGATGCACAGCCAGTACAAATGTTTTGTGTCCTGCTGAGTTAATATGTGGATAATGTCTGAAGAGTCCTGTTGAAAAGAGTCTTCCATAAAGCAGAAGATTTGGGGACTCTGGGCTTGCACAGTGCTGTTCTTGTTTAATTGAAAAACAACCCCCAAAAAATCTCAGTTTTCTTCTAAGATCATTGCACACTTTCATTAAGGCAGCAGATGACAGAAAATAGTGTATCTGTTTAAATACAGATGAGATTTGAGGGGGGGAAATACCGAATACAAATGCAGTTATACAGACTTGCATCTTTCTAAGTAATGTTTATGTGTATTCTTTATCTCCAGGACAGTTTCATACTGTCTTGGCATTTAACTCCTTAGCACATGCATTTTCTCAGTTGCTGTGTGCTCTATGTAGTACCTGTTTGCTACTTGGATTTTAACAAGTGTTTTTTCTGCTGTTAACCCCAAAGAAATGCTGCAGAAAATATGGTACTTTGGTCAGTAGGGTTCTGTCTTTAGGTTTAATGCACAGAAGATGATTAAATTATTATGTATTCAGTTTGGCTGGCAAAGCTAGATGTAAGGAACTGTCTGACTTGACAGTTTCAGCTGGCTATGTCTGTGATTCAGCAGTGCTGCAGTAAAGAAGTTTGGAGACCTCGGGGAGGGGTGCAGCAGGAAAAGAGAGAATTGTGCATGTGTAGTAACTGAACCTAAATCAAATGTACTGCATATCCCCAGGAAGTAGTTGTGCTCTCACAAGAATATGAATCTGAAGGATGTTTGCAAGAGACATGTACTAACATGATAAATGCTGTCTCTCAGCTTGCTGTGTCCATGTTCTGCTGTAGTTCTTAGTTGTAAGTTACAGGGTAAAATTTTAGGAAAAATATGAGCTGAAGGCTTTAACTCAATGCCACTGAAAAAATGTATTTTTTCAATTTATTTGTCTGTGCTAAGCTGCAGAGTAACAATATTTCTATTGCTTTTCAGCTATGAGAAACCTCCCCCTGGGCTAATTAAGGTTGGTAAATAGCAGTAATTTTCTAGGATTATGAGGGATTTTCACAAAACTTGTTCTTTAGGTGTTTAAGTGTCTGTGTTACCTATATAAGTCACAGAGAGAAGTAAGTGCTTCCCAGGAAAAACTCAGAGAATCATTACAAGCTGACCACTTTGTCTTGGTGATCCAGAGTGAAATGCCCAGGATCAGACAGAAGGAGACCTTGTCTTTTATCATCTCTTAGCATACTTCATGCAGTATTTAATAGTGTGAGTAGAGGGGAGCCACTTATGGAAAGCAGATTTTTGGTTTGAATGACATATTTTCAGGATTCTTCTCTGCTGCTTAGGCGAAAATAATTCTTTCATCATTATCATTACTTTTGCCAAATTTATATACCTAAGCCATAAAGTCATGTTTTTAACCTAAAAAAATAACTGCTCTGTGTTGTAAGGGCTTCCTTGTAATTGTTATGTCTTTTTAGCAGGAAGAGGATAACAAAGTCTCTGCTTTGTGTTTTCATTTATAATGTTTATTTAAATAAATTACTAAAATGGATGGGAAGGATTGAAATTTCTGTGCAGCAAAGTTCTGGCTGCAAAATTCATGGGTGAGAAAAAAAGCAAGGGTCAAGTATTTTAAATCTTTTGTGTGTTACAAGGTAAAAAGGTAATGGACGAAATATGTTTCCTATAAAGTGAAGGTCTGTACACTTGAAGTGTTAATTCTAGCAAAATTAAAATAGTAAGCAAATAGTAAGCTATTTAATTATCCTTATCTTTCTGCCTTTTTTTTTCGTTTGGTTTTTTTTTTTGGTTTTTTTTTTTTGGTTTTTTTTTGGTAGGAGAATGAAACAAAACCAGAAGACTGCATACCTGATGTACCAGGCAATGAAAGTGCACGAGAATTCCTGGCACATGCCCCAACAAAAGGGCTTTGGATGCCTTTGGGAAAAGAAGTCAAAGTTATGCAGTGTAAGGCTGAAAATATTCCAGATGTCGTTGGACCATCATGTATCATCCATTTACCCTGGGGGAGGGCAGAATGTCTGGTGGACAGATGATGAAGTCCAGGTAGATTGACATCATATTGATAGAAAAGCAAACATTATCTTGAAGGCTGTTTCAGCCTAGTATTTTATGGATGTTACATTTATCAACATAGTGGTTGTGTTTCTCTGTTTCTTCCAACAGACTGAAAATATTTTGCAGAAATGTGCTTTTGGCTTTTTTATGCTTCTTCTGACGTGTCTCCAAGGTGCAATTCACTGCTGCTTTTTTTTTTTTAAAGGTTGGAGATGTAAACGTTACGGACACAGAACAGGAGATAAGGAATGCCCGTTCTTTATTAAAGGCAATCAGAAATTGGAACAATTTAGAGTAGTGAGTACCAATATTGTAGTACCACTGCTTGTATTTTTTAGTACTGACAATGCATAATCTTGCAGATTATGAAGATTCTTGAAGAGAAACCTCTTAGATGATGCTTTATTAAGGACATTTTCTCTGTCTCTAGTATAACGTAGATGCTGAAAATCTCCTAATGAAAAAGCTACAGGTGTGTTTGGATGTTTGACTACTTTGCAGAAAATCTACTCTTCAAGAGGAAAATTAATAATTTTTACATATAAATTGGAAATCTTCAAGAACCTGTTTCAACCATTATTATTTTTTTGTGGTTAAAATGTCAACAAAAAATGTTTAGTCAAGCTTGAGCTTTACAGCATTACAGCTGCTTCAAGCCTTCTGCTCTCACTGTGAACAACCACATCATGAATTCTGTTGTCTAGGTCTGTTATCCAGTCATTGTCTACAAGTCTGATCTCTTGCTGCATTAAGCTCTGTCTCAGTTCTGCAGATTCTTCCTGTGTGATTTCTTTAACTATTTCTGTTGCTCTGCATCATTGACCTATATTTCAAGCTGTCATCATTTATGTCCTCATTTCTGCTCTTGAAAAATGTAATCTTGGCTTAGCCTGTCCAAGTTCTGGATTTGTACTAATTGTATGCAACTGCAAAGCAGTTTCTAGCCCTTTCCCATGACCAGACTGCCTCTAGTCTTCATTTTCCCTCAGGCTTCTTTGTTGCATCAAACTGTTGTTGTATGTCCAAGGCCCTTCATGGTGCATTCCCAACATCTTTCAATTGCTCCTGAAATTTCTGTTCCCACCTCTGGTCAGCATCGGCCATCTCTCCTCTCTGTTGGACTTGTTTGCTTAATCTTCCAACAGAAATGACCACCCCACCCTTTTTCTGCATTCTTGCATGGCATGAACCCACCTTAAATGTCTGCAAAGTTTATTTCCTGTCTTCCTTCACAGCTGTCTTTTGCTGCAATGCCCATTTAATTTGATTTTAGAACCAATGGTAGTGCACAGCATGATAGAACAACTCCAACTTCATTATCCTTATCTTGTATTCCTTACTCCTGTATTCCTGTTTGTTTATATCCAAATTTTTTAAATGTACTGTAAGGGTACAGATCATTACTTTGAACTTGAGTATTCTATCTAAATCTAGCTATTCCCACATTATGTGTGGGATTCTCATAGTTGTGATTGGAGAGGTAGGGAGATGCATACCTAAGGAGAGTCCCCTTCTTTGGAGATGTGGCTAGATAACCTTTTCCCAAAGCAAATACACCAGTTCAGGTGAACAGTGCTGACAGTGAATTAACAGCTTGCTAAGCATATTCTGTCTTTTATCAAAAGCCTCCAGCATTTGGTTGCTTTTGTTTTCTTTTTTTAGGAAATAAAACCATTGGTGATAACATTGCATTTCCTGTTCTCCATTTTAAAGGCACATGAAGATCCAATGTATGATATAATAAGGGAAAATAAGCGTCATGAAAAAGAAAAGAGGTGAGTGTGTCTGTAGTGAACAGCATTTTCAATTTAATTTTTATTTTGGTAATGTGGTACTAATGTATAGGTGACCTTTTTATAGAAATTTATTTTTAGTTCAGAACATTTTTTAATGGCAATTTCTTTATGTTGATAGACTAATGCATTTCTGCTTTCTAAATAATCACTCTTTAGTACGATCAATCACTTCAATTCTTTAGCTTTTGTATTTTCCCCAAAACAAAGTTTAAAGAGCAGTTGTATGCATTTGTGCCATAATATTGAGGTACTTAGGTGTGGTTTTTGGTTTAGACGTGAAAAAACAGTTTGAGTTTTTTTTTCTTTCACTGACTTCACTGAGATGTTTTCTAAAATTTGGTTTGTCAGAATGTTTTCAGTAGAAATGAAGCAGGGGTTTAGAAAGCTAGTGCTAGGCACCTGATATTGCTGCTTTTGTGAGGTCATTATTTAGTATATAAAGTGGCAGGTTTTGCTGCTTTCTTCCTTAAACTGCTTCAGTGGGATAGCTGAACAAACTTTAGGCAGCCCATAGAGCAGCACTCTTGGAGAGGAATCCTTGAAGAGTATACAGGAGACAAAAATAAAATAAGCAAATACTTTGTCCCTATTCACCAGTAATCCTTGCAAGTTCAAAGGAAGAGTGCTTTTCAAAAATACTTCTGCATCCAGAGTAGAGCCTACCCTCTCAGCTTCACTGACATCCTCTCTGTATCTGCAGGACAATGAATGTCATAATATCCTAATCCCAATAATCTTCTGCAGGGATAAGCATAGAACTTCTTATCACCGGGTGGGCTGGTGCTGATAGCTGTTGCCTTATTATTTTGCACACATAAATAAGCTAATAAGTTAATCTGCCTTTCCTATCCAATGGGATGGAAAGTCCCTGAAAGCAGAACATCTGCTTGTCTCAAAGGAGTTGCTTTTATCAGTCCGTGATATTATCTGTAATGAGAGGTAATTAAGCAAAAGAGGGGGTGTTCCCCTGCCCTTTGCATGCAGCTCAACCATTCCTCAAACCAGGAGGGAAAGACGAAAGCTAGGGGGGAAAGACAAGCTAGAAAGGATTCTCATTCACATATTTTAAACTCAGGATACAGCAACTGAAGCAGCTCCTGGAGGACTCTACCTCAGAATCTGATAGCAGTGATGACAGTGATGAAGATGATGAAGATAGCAGCAGCTCCACTTCCTCAGAACATAAACACAAGAAGAAAAAGAGAAAAAAGGAAAAGAAAAAGAAAGAAAAGAAGAAGAAGAAAAAGAGGAAGCGTAAATCATCCAAATCTAATGACAAGTCAGGATCTGACTGACAGCAGTCACCTGCTGCATGCCTATTGACCTCTCTACTTGTGAACTGCGAGGAAAGATCCAAAGAATGAGGAGGAAAACACCAGAAAGGGCTTTATTAAACTTGAAACATACATATGTGTGCATACAGCATCCTACACTGGCATCCTCTTCTGCCCCTCTGCAGCCAGAAAGAAGAAAGCTGCATTAAACCATATCCTTGTGCTGTAAAACCCGTGCTGGGTGTCATCCAGCTTGGTCAGATGGGGCCTCTGCATTGCTGCCTGTGACCAGCAGCAGAAAGCAGCGACCACCGAGGGATCACCAACAAGCCTGTAGCATTAGCAGACTGTCTGTTGAAGTGTTTTTACTTTGTGAAGTTATTTTATTATATACAAAGCCTCTTTGTAACAGGACTGCAGTTTGCACCATGCAGGGCACTGAGGGCTGCCTTACAGTGCTTGTAATGAGCAGGTTGTACTGTATTTCCTTCTGCGCATACGTGCTGAAGTTCTGTGTACCAATCCTAATGTTGGCAGCTAGGAAAATAAAGAGTTCTGCTGCAGGGGAAAAAAGATAATCAAGGGGATTTACTTTAAGACAAAATTGCACCATCAGCAAGACTTCTTTTTTTTTTTTTTTTTTGGTGTGTGTGTAACAAAATCTCAATATCACCCTCATTAATGCACAGTTCTGAAACACCTGAAGTGAAACATCTAAACAGTGTCTAAACCATAGAAGTGGGAGCCTGTAGGAATGCGCTCCCTAATGACAGAGTGGTAAAAACTAACTTTTGTCTTTCAAAAAAGGAAAGAAGCTCAGAAGCTTCTCTCAACTGTTAGGTAGAAAGCCACCTCATAGGGCTTCAGGGGCTTCACCAAACACCAGAGAACACCTAATTGGATAGAAGCCAAAAAGTCCTGCTTGATCAATCAAGTAGAAAAGAACAGAACAAAAGAGAAGAGGGGCTTTTGTGTGAAGTGTTTTTACCAGGGGCAGATCTCTGTACCTGGCTTGAGTTTTTCTGTTTGTTATTTTGCTTTTATTAAACCTTTTTTGTTTCTAACACCACAGCAGAAGCCATCCTGCTTATTTTATGCCTCTAAAGTGTAGCTGAGCTATCCTTGGGTGTATTAAGTGTTTTTCTAGGGCTTATAAGAACTGGCTCTAGGACAAACAGCTTAATAGGAGCCGAGTGTAATGATGTTAAATATTCAATTTAACTGTAAAGAGGTAGTAGGTTTAGTTGTAAAAAGGGGGGTTCCATGTAAGAAATTAAAAAGATTGATTTCTGCATATTCTGCAGTATCAATTGTTTGTTTTGATAAAAGTTGAGGGAGGTTTCCTTTCTAAAAGGCTTGGGGGTAATAAATTCCCAGTTTTTGTGCTTACTAGATTTGATGAGGTAACATTTTTTTTAATAATTTCACAAGAATATAAATGTGTAAGGCTCTCAAAATGGTTTTCAACTACATGCATGAAACCACAATAATAGTAAAGAATTTGTAAGCAGGAAGAAGAGAACATTTTGTGTACTTAGGACACCTTACATACTGACCATACTTTTACATAATCTTACAGACTCAACAAGGAAAATGGAGATAGCTATAAACAGCAGTTTACAGTAACCAACTCTCTTTGAAACCTCAAGGTACAGAGCTGTGAATTGAGGAACTAGATGATGGATATTGGTACTGTGCAAAAGGAAAGAGAAAACTAGATTTGCTTTGAAAGAACTTCTATAGAATTTAGTCTCTCTGATTACTAAGATTGAAAAAAAACCCACATGATACAGCTCTGATAGAGTGAACATTAACAGTGAAATCAAAGAGTCATAGACTACAATGCAGCTAAGATTTTTTTTTTATTTTCTTCAAAGCTTTAGAAGAGAGGACAAGGGAAAGTATAAATTAAAATGTTTTTTCTCCCTCCTACATGTCTTAGAGTGGTTTAGTAAAAATAACCCCCCATTCCTTGCCAGTATGCACAATATGTTCTGAGGAAAAACAAGATAAGCAAGGCCTACTTACAAGAAGTTTCTGTATCATATTCCCAGACCTTGAAAGTAGAGTTGTATTTTCTCTTGTATTTAGCAAATCTCCCTGTGGTGGGATTTACTGGTGACTCATGTTAGTTCCCTATATCAGCAGCATCATCAAATTCTAAGGGCCTTGTTCTTTCACCAGAAAAAGATTTAACAGCAGAAATAGCATGGGGAGTTCTATAATGGACCAATTCTCTTGGCCAGGTTGGACAGCGCTCTGGGCAACCTGGTCTAGTGGGAGGTGGCCCTGTGTGTGAAGGGGGGTTGAAACTAGATGATCTTTACAGCCCCTTCCAACCCAACCCATTTTAGGATTCTTGTATTGCCACACTTGGGGCTGAGATTAATGCAGTTACAGATTATTGAACAGATGCTAGAAGCCTGATATTGACCTGATGCATTCCAAGAGAACTCTTACTCAGGCTTGTCTAGAGCAGGGCTAACTTCAGTTACTTCAGCTTTTGTCATTTAAGATTGTTCTGAAGCTTAGTTTAATAAAAACAATTCAGTTTTTCCTTTGCAATCCCCTTCCTTGTTAATGAAACTCTCTCCTTGTATCAGTCAGGATTTATTATTTCAACAATTAAGAAAAATACATTAGGAGACCATTTCTAACTTGTATCAAATCTAATTTAAATGTTTGAGATGCCAAATAACTTTTCTATGCCTGACTAAAGGCCTGTTATATCAGTATCTTTCCAATCAGGGTTTATAGAACACACCTCCACAGCAGAGCAGTGCAAACTCTGCTGTTATTTGTTCTATTATTTTGTTGCTTCACTGAAATGCTCTCTCACCCTCTACTGCTGAGAGTACCTATGGTGCAGGTACTTAGAATCATGGGTTAGATTTTAGTATATAGTGGCCTTGGATATATATTTTCTTTTATATTCACTCACTGCTTATAAACTTTGCCATTTTCCTTAGCAATGAATTCTTCATTGTTTAGTAGTTTGTAGCAATTGGCTTTCACACTGCTTTGTGCTAGTTTAATTTCACACACCTTTAATCTTACACTGCAGGGTATGTGAGTAACTGATTCCTGCTTATTCTCCCTATATCATTTCCAGTTTTATAAGCCTCTGTCATCCCATGTAGGTCTTTACTGCAACTCATAAAAAGTAACATTTCAAAATTTAACAATTCCAATAGACTAAGATTTATAAGAGCTCTTTTAACAGCCAGGGCTAGAGTGCTGAGAAGCATGATTCACGTCATCATTTGGCATTTTAAACAGTGCCAAAGCTGTCATTTAAGATAAGTCTTTTAAAAATATGTAGACTAGAGATAAATACTAACACCCCTTTAGATTAATGAAAAACAGTTCTATGTGGAAGTAAACCCAGAAAGCAGGATAGGAAGTTAGAGTCTTGAAAAACTGACTAGCCTTATTTTGTAAATAATAACCATTTAATGTTTTTGTTCAAAAAACATTTTTTTCTGGCATTCTTTATAGATGTCGATTTCCATTTGAATGTTCTGTTGAAGCCCAAGTGATAGTAATAACATAATTATGTAGTCCCATGAAACTAAATAGGTGTTAAATGCAGCTAAAACAACCCTCAAAAAAAAATATAGCTTCCCAGGTCTTTTATCTTAATACTCTGTATAATTTTTGTAAGAAAGGTATTTCAGGTAAAATACTGATACTTTCCTTATTTCTTTGGCCATTCAGTTAGGTGGGGTTTATAGTCTTTTTGAGTGAGACAGCCAGTGGCAGCAAGTCAGGGGAAGCTAAGTAATCTAAAAAAAGGAATTTTTTTTTCCTTGGTACGCCTTCAGTTGGCATGCTATGAGTGTTACAGGCTTTTGGGGTTTGGGTTTTTTGTTTTTTGCCATTGGCTCTGTTCTGCCTTTGTTTGATTTTAATAGAAAGACCTATGGTTAATATTTTCCAGTATAAGGCAGAACACCAGACATTGTAAACGGGAAAAAAATTTATGCCATCCAGGTGCTACCAATTTGAAAACCAAAATACAGAATTAATACCTGGCCAGCCAACAGAACCCAGAGCTCCACATCAGTAATTACACCACACCCACTTTGCAACAGAGGTTTCAGTTAGCTACAAATAATGATTTAGAAATGCTGAGCCACAGACAGTAAGTCTGTCCAAACAATGCTCTCAGTATGGCAATCCCAGAGGCCTCTAAGGTTTGTTGCTGGTGTGCCAAGCAGCAAATAGATTCTTCATCTGCCTTTCAGGAGATGCTGCAGGAAGCATGTGAAAACTTCCAAGGCAATGCAGTACTGCGACAGCTACAAACTCACAGTACTGCCAGCTCTGCAGTGAGTCACTGGGCAGTCAGTCTGGCTGCAGTGGGAACAAAAGCTGACACGTATGTGCATCTGCAAAACTAAATCTCACCGTGCCTTAGTTACCTGGCTGAATAAACAAGAGCCTGGGCTTGAACTCCCAGCCTTTTAAATGCAGTTTGTGAAGCATGACCTTTTGACTCACTGGAACATTAGTTTCAGCTGTAAGTCAGTTAAGATGGAATCCACAAATTGTCCATGCTGCTGAATGGAAAAAAAGCCGAGCAGAATAAATAGTTTTTAAGGTCACAGGACTGGTACTGTTAGAGTACACTACACTGCATATCAAGAATTATTTCTTGAACACTGGAGCATTCACGCATACTATAAGTATCGGGCATAGCACAGGTATAGTACAAGATATAACCTGTTTAAAATAGCATTTGTTTTCAGAAAAAGAGCAGTGTAAACTCTGCTACTGCTACTCCTTCTCGTCCTCTCAGGAGCATCATCAGGCCCTAAATTACTTCTTGCATCTGAGTAGAAATCACACTGAGTAGTGCAAGACCTGTAAAAGGATGACCAACATGATAATTTAGAGTACCTGTCAAGTATTACCTATTCCCAAAAGTAAGAAAGCCATCTGATTGTGAGGTCATGAGTATTGTTTTATAAGATAAGCAGCAAAAGATACAGCTAAGGCTATCAGCAGAAATGAGTGTTAAAAAGCTCCATGCTTGAATTCCTCATTTTATTATTTGATGTTCTGGTGCAGAGATTTTGTGCAGCACAGAAGCCAAATCAGGATTGTTAATGCATTTATTTTCTTTCATTGCTTGAAGTAAAAAGGAATCGAAAACTTGTCATCACAATGACTTCTTTCCTCTAACAGCTTGTGGTAAAGGCTGTAGTTATAGCAGAGCTTTAACAATTAACCAGATGGTATTAAAAATAATAGAGAGATGGGATCAGTTGGGTAGGGAAACATCAGTACCCCTCACTAAGAAGGAAAACAGCATAACTTCAGTTACAGGTCAGACTAGTAAGAGGTAGGGCCAAAACCTGAACAATCACAGGAAATGCTACTTTTATCCATGTTGCTTACTCTAGGGCACAGACAGAATAAGAACATGGGAGAGGAGGCAAAAGACAAGTTCTGTCTGTCCATCCACCCCACCCTTTTTGAAGGAAAACTAGATGTGTGTTTTGTTGTTGGTTTGGGGGGTTTTTTTTGTTTCTCTGTTTTCTTCACTGACACTATCACTTTATTTGCGAATCATTCAAGGCTGGCAATATCATATTTAGTCTTCTGACACATTAATAATAGCCTTCATAGACATGGAAAAATATACATATTTTTGAGCTATCCACCTCATCTAGATCAGTCTGTTACCATTATTCCTAAGACAGCTCATCACAGACCTGATTTTACCATCTTAGTTCTATAAAGAGACTTCCAGGAACAGTATCAGCTGTAAGTCATAGAAGTCATCAGTGAGAAGTCAGAGAACAGGGCACACCACTAAAAACTTCTGTTTTACCTTTCAGATCCATATCTCCAGCTCAGAGTCTCCATAAAGGACTCAAAACTGTCCAGAGAAAAAGGGGAGGAGAGGGAAGCATCACATCAACTCAATGCTTTAGTTTTAGTCCTCAGTCATGAGAGTAAGATCTGAGGAACTGCCTTGAAAGTTTAAAACAGCACTTGACTTGATACAGCTGTAACTATATTCCTTTACATGTTGACAAAAACAAATCCATCTGATAGAAAAGAGTCATGTACTTATGTCCAGATGTAACCTTAAATAAAAATAGGTATATTTTTATTCATAACAATATGACTATGAGATAACATGGACAGGCTTCACAGACCTGAGAGTTTAAGGACAGGGCAGCAATAACTGTCACGCTGTAATGGCAGTTTTGCACATACATGGCCATCTCAAGTTTTTTTGCTACTGTGTAAAGATGGAACACAAGAAGTCTCAAAGTGCAATTCTATGAAATTTATTATTTAAATAGTGGATGTGCTAATTATAAAAAGGTGACTTTGGTGTTAATACTTCATTCCATTTTGTGTCCTCAGTCTTCACAGTGTCACTTCGTGCCCTTTTAGAGTGAACAGCAACTTACAAAATATATAATAGAATAATAATCAAATCTTGGATTTATACAAAGAAACCTTTGGTATTCTTCCCCCCACTTCTGCCCCAATATTTGCAATTATCTCTTCTTAGAGAGGGACTTCCTTGTTCCGTGCCCTAAAAGTAAAAAAAATAAAGTTAAGGTATGTATATATTCCACCTCCAAACTATGTCAATTTGCTTCTGAAAAAAGACTAGATACTAGTGATTGTCTTTTCCTATTGCAGGCACTGATGGTTGATATTAGAATTATGTACTCAACTTCCCAGCTAGTATAAAATGTGCATGAGTGGTTTTGGACTTCAGAATATCCCAGCATAACAGATAAGAAAGAGTTCCATATGAAGCTCATATCATATTCTCAGTGTGCTCTTACATAGTTGAATGTATCCAAGAAACATCAGCTATTTCTGGGGAAAATACAGGAAGTGTTTTGGGATTATGCAAGTTTCCTGGATGCTTTTAATAAAAGCTGGTCAGCAATTAA